ACCAACGGACCTCACGAATTCTTCTATGTGCTTGCGTCGTGTCTTTGTACTTGGTCTTTCAACGACTTTTTAGTCACATCAATATGTGTTTGTGATTTAACTGTACATAATTTTACGAATACATTTTTTTATTAATATGAACAAAAAGCACCTTTACTTCATAAGTAAGCATTCATTATTCCATTCATTGTAACACTACTCATTCATAAGGCAGATGAGAATAATTATTATACAAATATACTTGTATCTCGTGTGGGGTAGACAGAGAATACGTAATGACTAAATATATATCTCGACGGTAAATGTGGATTCACCCATAAACACATGTGATATGAATAATAACGAAAATAAACAACAACAATATAGATATAATGATAATAATCTATCAAGTCTTAGTCGTTCTACTGCTATAGTACAAAGGTTTCAGTAATTACCTCAGTGAATTTCAGGTAAGTTTTTTGTACTCAATTTTGGTGACAATTTCTTTTTATTCAAATATTTATAGAATATCGTCCCTGGAAAGCGATAATGTTGTTACACTCAAAAACTTAACTTTTCACTGGAGCCAAAACAAAAATTGCAAAAACGAAAAAAAAAAAACTCTGAAATGGTTCGAGTTTTTTGTGCCAAATTTAGCTAATAATCCTATAAAAACAGGTCTTCTTAACAATAAACTCGGATTTGAAATAGTCCTACTCCTAATGTCGATTATGTGGGTTACGACAATTTGATTTTCAGATTTTAACCCCAAACAATTCTGTAACTTTCAAGTTAATTTGTATGAAGGTGCGACAATGCCGTCAATTTATGGTATTCTAAGAGTGATATAAGTAAATTAGAGCTCCTTAACACATTTTTGGTCTTTAAATGTTAATTTCTTGAAGATGTATGAAATTCAATACCGCTGTAAGAGTATTTTTTAAACCAATGCAGGTCACATTAAAATGGTGTTCGTGAAAATCACATGCAATTTACATGACTTTTAAAATGTTTATTATTAAAAAGAACCACTATTTGTGAAAAAGGCTTTGGTCACAATGAGTACAATGAAACAAATCGAATTATAATATTGGAGATTTAAGACAATAAAACAAAATCATTGACACATTGTGTGCCATATTACATCGTTCTTAGAACTGATGAATTATAAATTCCTTAAATTCCATAAAAGAATAATAATCAACAACTTATCTTACTCTTGATTATTACTATTTCATTTTCTGTTCTTATATTTTCTATTTTAGTTTTATTGCCTGGTGCCTACAAGGAAAAAGATTATCTACATGTTAAAGATTTAAAATTATTACGTTTTAGTATAAATTCAATAATAATTAAACCATCCGTATTCCTCGTAGGCACCAGGTAATGAACGAAAATAGTAAAAATATAGAAACATTGTATCATGATTATAATTTAAATTAAAACCAAACTATGTTCATCCATTAAGCAGACTTCAAAATTAAAAAAAAATATTAAAATTAAACCATGTAAATAGTGTCGTAATTCTTTGTCATATTCCATGAACTGCAACCCGGTCGGTTGTATGTTTCGTCAGACGGTTAAGTCTGAGAGTAGCGGGTAAACGTAGGTCCGATGACACGCGGGTTTTTCTCTGCAAGTGCTCAAATTCATTCATATATATACTAAATTTTAAAAATACAAATAGAAGACATAATTTAAAGTTTTTCATTTTAATTTGATATACGTAATCAAATCCACCTATCGATATTAAAAAGTGTATGACTAAAAATCGACTTTGATACTAATAGACCAACTGTCAAAATAAGAATAAAGAATACAATAACGCAATTAGTAATCATTAGAATGTGGTAACGATCACAATTCAGTCATTTTTGGCAAAATTTTACCTACGTTTACAATCTATCGATAAAACTATCGACAGCATGACTACTTAAAATTATACGAAAACTGGCAACACTGCAAATGTCATTTTGCTCCATCTTCAAAAAAGACAGACTATAGTGAGTTTAATAAGTGCTGTACTCTTTAATTTACTCGCATGTTATTAGACATCATGTCATAGGCTGGATTTTAGTTTATTTGTCATAGGAAAGATGTGATATGTGTAAACACCTTTATTTAAATATTATATTTATGTTATATATTTAGAACCATTTTTAAAAAGTTCATTATAATTTTACAATAAGTGAGCAGGTGTAATGCCTCATAAAATACTTCATTAGTATCTAGCGGTCAATAGCTGAACCACGACGAATTTGAAATGTTTATTTAGTTCTCCAAAAAGAAGCGACCATATTACAGAGGTTTACTTTCAAAAAAATTAATTACCATAAACAGAAAATTTATTAAAATAAAATAAGACTTAACGATGACATGAAACACATCATAGACAATATTATAAGTGCGACTATCACTTTTGTCTCCAAAGTAGCAAAATAAGGCATTTTTCTGCGAATTTCTAGGTTTTGCGCTAGACAATTGACACGACCATAACGTGCAAAGCGAAAATGACGAATTGAACTTAAGTACGTGGAACTACGCGTACTGTTGGCACACGTGTCATGCAAACTAGGTAAACCAACCTTTTCGTGACACAATGACCCTTACTTGAATCCAGTAACGTTATTACTAATCATTCTAAAAGCAGCTAATGTGAACTAAGTAAAATATTTGACTATTATGATTTCACGATTGTGTTCTATGGGACATAGCCAAGACTGGAAGTGAACGCCCACTTCATCCTTCCACTAGCGTAATTGCCATGGTATGTTAGTATATAATAACTGTAGTATAACAAAACGATACTGATTTCCTTTAGTAAATATCCTACATAGAAAGCAATAACCTTTTTAAGGAAGTAATTAGAAGTATTATAAATGCCAAATAAAATACTTAAGTGGTTACTGAACCTTACATTTGATTTGTTGCTGTAGCAGTCGTGTAAAGGTCTGCATAATTAGAACACTAATGCCTGTGTACACGCGATTTGTTCAAACAGTGTTTCTTGATTAACAAGTGAATAAAATATAAAAGCTTATATTGACAATATCATTTATTCCGCACTAGAACACATTATGAACAAAAATCATATTACAAAATGTGCTTAACGCTTAGCTATAGGTTGCGATATTGTTGCTATAACTTATATGGGAATGCAAATCACATAAGGTGCAATATTCAATGAAGTATTTTGACTTATTGTATGTTTAAAGTAGAGTCTGTCGCGCTAGAGACGGGCTTATTGTATTTCTGAACGCTTTTGCTGCAGTCTATACGTAATTAACCAATTTACCCTTTTCTCAATTCCTGTAACAAAAAAAACGTTAACAAAAATAATTAATGGCTTTTGTACAGCCTAATTAAAAGCCTAAACCAACATAAATGTGGGCCAGCCATTATATTGTTTGGTCATATTATGTCCCACACGGTTCTTTTATATTCCACATGGTACAATTGTCGTGAAGCCTTGTGAGTTATTAGATTATATTGAAAGTACGTGGAAAATACTGTAACAAATGCAACATAACATGAGGTAGCGTGCCTATTCCCAACTGAATGGTATAATAATCATTATAAAAATTGCAACAACGGCTAAATCTTTATTTTTTTTATTTATTTACGAAATTTTACTTGTCAGTCCTACGCTCTAGGAATTTCATGTGTATAATACAAGACCTGGCTCAGTAGGGTACCCTGGGGAACGCCTATCTCAAGAAATATACTTTTACGCTGACGTCTCAACCGTAATATCATACAGCCTCTATCATTATTCACAACAATGAAGACTAAAACCCCTTTTGAATTTCATAATTCATTACTCATTACAAAAAAAAGTATAGTTTCACTATGTCCGGCTTAACATTAGGCATACAAACCTATTGAAGGACTTGTACAGTTGTACTTACATGCAATTTTAACAGACAAAACTAGGTGTAACGTGTTGTTTTTTTAATTATATCCCTTGGGCGTGGACACATGGCCTAATTAGTTCATGAAAGTCATTTAAACGCGGTGATAGTTATTTGGGTCAATTTTTTTTTTTTTTAAATAACGCACACACTCAACATAGCCCCGCACTAGGGAAACCCTGTGTTGCGGGTGCCATGGACACACACTTAGACAACCACAAATTACACCCAAACTCACGAGAGAAATAATTGTAGGCCATACAACTATTTCTCCCGGCCCGGGAATCGAACCTGGGACCTCTGCGTGACAGTCCGGCATGGTAACCGTTCGGCCACGGAGGCAGTTTAATGATAATAATTTTAAAATGTAACTGGATGTCAAAGTAACGAAAATCATTTGTGGTTGTCTATGTGTGTGTCCATGGCACCCACGACACAGGGTTTCCCTAGTGCGGGGCTATGTTGAGTGTGTGCGTTATTATTATTATTATTGTATATTTCCTGACGCATTCCCCGTATCTTAAAGTCATGTGATTATGAATTTTGAATTGTCTACTGCATTCTTAAAGTATTAAAGTATGTAGTGCAGAAACAGATAATATTTTATATTATTTCTCGCAATTACAGATTTTCATGCTAGTGAGCAGTTGGCTGTTTAAGTTTTTCTTTAGTCTGTTCACATTTAGTAGCAGTAGAGCTCCTTGTGACAGAGTTCGTCCAAGGAAGTACTGCCACCTTACCTATTTCTGCCGCCAAGCGGTACTGTCACCATTACTGCGTTCCAGTTTAGAATGGTAAGGGTGCTAGTGAAGTTACAGGCAATATGGGTCTTCAACGTCAACTTAGGTCTCAGGGTGACGGCGTATTGCGATTGCGATTTAAAGCTCTGAATGGCACTGCAACTGTTATGGATAGGCGTGTCGCTTACCACCAGGCGCACGATTTGTTCGTCCCGTTACTTGGTATTATACAAAAAAGAAACAGTTATTTACTACTAGACATGATAGAAATGGTCCTACATTACAGAGTTGCACTCAGTGCGGGTTATTTTTTCAAAGTAATGCAATCATTTCCGAGCATATTTCAGAAAAATATATTTATTGTCCCCAGTGCCAAAAGTGGAAATTGTAGATGAGCGAGGTCGACCTCTTCAAGACAAGTTCTACAAAGAAGGCTCAATCATTGAACTGCGGTGCGTCGTCAGCGAGGTCCCGCAACCAGCTAGGCAGGTCAATTGGAAACACGGGACTAGATTGCTGAATTATGATACCAAGAGAGGTGGTGTTAGGTGAGTATTTTTAACTTTTTTTAATATGGCATATGTAAAGTACAAGCTACCAGTGGCGAGGCGTGAACATTGTTGTTTGTAAAGCCGGAGCAAAAGAAAAAACACCTAACTTAAGAAAAAGTGGCGCCTTGGCAATACTTAAGCACAACTTATTAGCATACAAGGTACTAGTACACTTCATTTCACTGGTTAACTTATTTTACACTTAGAATGTAACACAAATTGCGCCAACTTTATTTTTTGGTCAGTTTCTGTTATTTTTGTAAACAGCCTTATTTATGCTCCCCGAATTTTGTGGAAAAAAAAAGTTTAAAAAAATATCGAAAAAAAAACAAAAAACTAATTTTGTGTAAAATAAAAAACAAAATTAAAACCGAACAGATCCAGAAATTAAGTTGGCGTAGTGTTCATTGGAGGTAACGAAATGTAGTATTTGACAATATGTGGAAAATTTTAGGCAAGCCGGTGAAAATCGAGTTGTATAGACACCTCGCCACTGCAAGCTACTTCTTTATATCATAGCGATCATTGTGGTGAAAGGATTTACCATAATCGGCATAAAGTACACGCTTGCTCTTGCTTACAGGAAGAGAAGATACACACATTTACCATGATTCGGAAAATAATTGTAGGTCATACCTCAATATGTGAATAATATTACAAAATCTTATAATAAAACTTATATTTCATATCAAAGAGGAATTAATTACATGCATGGCCATATACATAATATAAACTACTTTCAGGCTATCGGTCAGCGTCATCTAAATATCAAACGGTATTTTGACCTTTTTCAGAGTTACGGTTTGTAGTATGGAGATTAGTAGTGAGATTGATTACTCGTTTATTGGCTGAGACACAGTACATTACAAACAAGCTTATGATATATAGGTACAATGGTAATCATAAAGAGGAAGGCTAGTCTAGGTTTGCGGGTGTAGTCTGGAGTGTTATATCATATAAGGAGTAGAGTTGAGTGTGCTGTGTCTGCAAAAAGGGCCCGACTCAGCATTATGCCGCAGTTCAGTCGAACTACGGCCCTGATGATTCTGTCAGGTCCTAAGATGAGCCGGTAAAAAGAAGTAACTCAGAATAATGAATCAACACGGAGTTAGAAAGTAAGGTATGTAGTTACAATATTAATTGTGTAGGTGAATAAGTTATTATATAAGCTATGAAACTTGGACAAGGTAACTGGAAAGATAATAAAAAAAGGTGAAAGATATAATGTGTGAGTAAGAAGTTGTGTGATTGTATAATAATTGTAAATGAATGTGTGTTTTGCTTAGAGGTGGTGTGTAGGTATATAACTAACAGTAACAGTGCTCTTGAGTTATTGGTCCATGACATAAGGGAAAGTGGTTTCAGGTATTTGCGATTATAAAATTCAATATATAATATGTCGAAACCATTTGGAACCCCAACATTTTCTCCTACTACGGATTCAGTGACTGTAGGACACGAATCTATTAATTTGGTCAAAACTGGGATCGAGTAAATTAACAAGTTCTGCATCTATATTTATAATTTTGCTATCTATTTATAAGTGGATGGATTTGTGACTTATGAGGTTTGACTTTTCCAATTTACCTATTCATAATGTTCCAAGTAGTTTCAGTAAAATGTGGGTTGTTTTTGTATACCTATTTCATTATTTATAAATATTGATTTAAATGCAATATAAACAGGCTTAAAAGTCACATACTATCTAACTATATCATTGAATCTGTCACTAATATTATAAAATTGAACTTTTTTCGGATCCATAATTTCCTGTATTAGTTATTTCAAACAAACCAAAAATTCGGGCTCTTATCAGACCCCATTGTCACGGTTGACTTGAACCATACGTCCTTAAAGGCCCGTAACTTTGGTTTGTTTAATAAAACAAATATGTGATTTTGGATCCGAAAAAAAAATAGTTTCATTTCCTATCTATAGTGATCGAGAAAATCTAAAATCTAAGAACTTGAATCATTGATTGTTCTATAGTCTGTTTCAATCCATTTTGAAGAAGTAAACAAACCTGTTTGGTTAAAATTCTAAAGCAATCACTCAATAAATCGTATAAGTAACACTTTCACGAATATTTCGAAGATTTCGACTTGATATATCATCACTTTTTCCAAAAATATTCATTTGAACAGCATCGTAAAATCGTATTTGAAAAATGGTAGTCCAAAAGTGAGGTTATTATTAGTTATTCATCTATACTTCTATGACTTGCCTATGATTGCATAGTGCTGTTCGAAAAAAAAAAATTCGATTCAATCAATTAAAGTTTTAAGAATTAGTAATCGATTATTACATCGAACATTTCAAGCGCAATCGAACGAGAATCTTAGTTATTTACGAGTTATAAAATTCGTTAGAATTATCACAGTACGAAAGCATAGTTAGTTTGAATCCATTACCAATAGTATTATCAATAATAATTGTCGGGTCTCAAACTAGAGAATTCGCTGTATTGAGTACCAGAGCATCGGAATCAAAACACCCAGATTAGAAGCAATTTAGAAAAAGTCATTTCCTAAATTGGTCTTACCGGAAATCGAACCTGAGATGAAAATTACCTGATAATGAGGTTGGTCCAAATGTTACCGAAATAAATAACTGCTATAAAAGTAATTCTAGCAGGCATTACAAATATTCCTAAAATAAACATTGAAGTCCATATATTTCAGTATATTTACTGGTATTGTTTAACTTGCCTAATATTTTCAAGTAATTCGCAAGAGGTGTATGAAAATTTACACGTTTGATGTAATATGCTGCTCAAGTTCTATGTAGGAAATCTCTTGCGTACACTCCACAGAAAGGCTCATCATATCTGTACGTTCTCATACTATTAAATCGTTTCGAATTAAAAAGCAAAAAATTTGTGAAGCTAAACACGAGCTGATGATCTTGTAAGCACTCAACATATCCTAAATATTTCATGAGTTGACAGCCATAAGATATCCATACGATGTATTATTTCCTGATACCTTCGGTTATGCTGATGACAGCACAGTTGTAGATAGATACTTGATCAATGCAAGGGTTAGTGGAGAAGAAATCCAGTCTTGTCGAGAGTCCATGGTTAGTCATTTGGATTTGATGCTTAAGGCAGTCTTTGATTAGCACGATAAGAGTACAGTACAATAACACGTTCAGGATGCTGCTGGGATTGCCACAGCTTTGCAGTGAGTCTTGTTTGCCGAGTTTGCCGAGGTGCGAACAGGTGACTTTTATGCCATTAGGTGAAAAAAGGTGTCATCTCTCCTAAAGCGAGTGCGTGCTGGTAACAATCGCATCCTGAAGATATTTGCCTATCATTTGTACTGTACAATTTTAAAGTTTTGGATAAAGGTCAGTACTAGTCAAATTCATTTTCAAATTTTAATTTTTGTGTAATAATATTTTAATTATCTATTAATATTTCAAAATTCATTGCAGTCGTACTAACAAAGTTTTAAGGTTTTCATTTGCAACTAACGCCATCATCTTATGAGCTATGGCATGAAATAAATGATTTGATTGTTATTATATTTATTATTATAAATTAAATCTCTCAAATCGCAAAACAAATAGGTACTGTTACATACAAAATGTTCATAATTACCGCACCTAAATTTACGGAACAAATAATTGCATTCACTATTGGAGACCACAAAGTGGTAGCAATCATTTGGGTTCATATATTTAACTTGCTCCAAAAATAGATGCCAGTAATTTTGTTGGACTTTACTAAAACTAGGTAAGCCTTGGGCGACACGACTTGATTATCCAGATTACTGTATAAAAATAGTCATAAGATGTATGTCATTAGAATCCAATTTCACTTGTCCGTCGAAATTCTAAACTAATTGCAAGGTATAGATATGTAGCTGACATGGGTCGGGATCACGCCATTCGAATCTCCTTCATTAGTCAATGACATTGATATTTGTAGTGTATATCAAGCGTTTTTAGATAGGTTATTATCATTTGAGTATGCTTAATTACTGCGGAATGAGGTTTAAGACCAAATCTTATCACGTACGAATACTTTTGAGGGGCCACTTCAAAGTCTACCTTTCTTTTTTCCAAGCTCTAGCTTTCTCTGTACAGAGGTCCACTTGGGTGTTAATGTTGTCTCGATGTTGTCTTTACATTGTCTCGACGATGCCTCGGTGCTGTTTCGATGCTGTCTCTGCACTATCTAGGCGCTGTCTCCATGCCTTTTCGGACTCGGGGTTCGATTCAGAACCTTACGATTATTCAGTTGTCGACCGATTTCTTTTCATTTTTATTCACATTACCCGAATCGAACGTCAAACTATCGTATTCGAAATCGAACCTCTCGACTGACAAATGCTATAAAGGTTATTTAGAACACAGTTATCGAATGAAAATTACCGAACGTCTCTCATTATTTTAAATAAAGTTTGGATTTTGTTCAATTTTATTAATTTATTTTATTGCAAGAATAATGCATTCCTACATTTTTAACCGACTTCAAAAAAGGAGGAGGTTCTGAATTCGACTGTATGTTCTTTTTTTTGTATGTATGTTACGCGATAACCCCGGTATTTGTGAACCGATTTTCATAATTCTTTTTTGTTTGAAAGGGGGTACTTCCATAGTGGTCCCATTTTATTTTGAAAAAAATCATCCACCTCTAAGGATGGCTGTTCACGCATGAAGATTTATTTTTATAAATAGCGCCTAACTTTAATTTACGAGCATTTATTTTAATGGTTGATTTTGCTATTTCTCCAAATTTAAGGCGTTTTTCTCTCCATATACTTTGAGTAGTGAGAACCGATTGTTATTATCTCCAGTGTCAAGTCCTGTATAGTAGCGAACTAGGGGATATTTCAACAAAACTTAGAAAATAGACGTAATTCCAAAACGTACTTTCAAGGTCGATTTTTTTAGTACTCTGTACTGAGATTCTAGGCATTTAAGGTCTAAAAATGTGTATAAAAGGATTTTCATTTTTCTTATAATCTTTCTTTAATTTCACCGTAAACGTT